GCTGCTACTATGGGCTCAGTGCTAAAAACCTTTTCTACAGATAACCAAATAGCAGAAAATAAATACAATATAACAAAGACACAAATTAAATAAACAGTGCTTTTCAGGTAGATCTAAAATAAATTTTCAGGTACAGAAATGTAATAATCAAATGTAAAATAACACTGCATCATCTTCAATGTATAAATTAAATATAGATTAATCCTTATAAAAGTTGTTCAGTCAAAATCAGTGAGAGATTTGTTTCTTTGACAGAAGTTTTCTGTTAGTCTGCTTTCACTCTAAGCAAAGCATGGATCCAATATACTGATACACATGCGTTTTCTCAACTGTTTACGTTAAGACAGTTCTAACCGACTGTGTTTACTAGGATATTCGCCAACTAGGTAATTCTCACAAGCGCTCGACAATTCCGTCAACTATCCCGAGCGTCTTTTACGCTCGCCCTTCAGGCAGAGTCTTATTGTCCCGACACGCGAGTTTGAACGAGAATGCACGCGTTGGCGGTAATGCATAGACAGACGGACATTGGTGAAAATGTGGACAGTGTCAAAATAAGGTGCCTATTTATACTACAGATAGCGATATTTTCCGTGTGGCATCGATACATATAAATTAAATATAGATTAATCCTTATAAAAGTTGTTCAGTCAAAATCAGTGAGAGATTTGTTTCTTTGACAGAAGTTTTCTGTTAGTCTGCTTTCACTCTAAGGAAAGCATGGATCCAATATACTGATACACATGCGTTTTCTCAACTGTTTACTTTAAGACAGTTCTAACCGACTGTGTTTACTAGGATATTCGCCAACTAGGTAATTCTCACAAGCGCTCGACAATTCCGTCAACTATCCCGAGCGTCTTTTACGCTCGCCCTTCAGGCAGAGTCTTATTGTCCCGACACGCGAGTTTGAACGAGAATGCACGCGTTGGCGGTAATGCATAGACAGACGGACATTGGTGAAAATGTGGACAGTGTCAAAATAAGGTGCCTATTTATACTACAGATAGCGATATTTTCCGTGTGGCATCGATACATCGTATCGTTAGACATTTAATCGATCCATATCGATGGATCGTTACACCCCTACTGACCAAGCACTCATATTTGCATGTGTGTACTTGTGTTGATTGTGTCACTCTGACCTGCAGAGGTCAACCACACCACCAGCTTCTCAGCCAGGCATTCAGATGAAGGTGCGGGCTTCACGCTGCTCTGCCTGTGAAACACACCCCACAATCAAACACACTGGAGAAACTAAATCAGCTGACTAGAATTTATGAGCCGAGACTTATCTAGAAAAACTAACATAAGGCCACATGACAATAATCATAAACCACACGTACCTTCTCAGAAAAGGATCACTCGTGTTTTTCTTTTGCCCTGCGAAAACATGGACCAAAAAAATTTTTATACACTCACCTATTAATTTTCCCTGGTTTTTGCATTATCAAATATACTTGAAATGCTAGAGTATGAAAAAATAAAAGATACACTACCATTCAATAGATTAGGGCCAGCAAGTTTTTTTAAAGAAATGAATGTCATGACTTCTGTCTGATCAGCAGGTTGTTGTGGTTTTTTGTCTGTTTTGACAGTTCGCCATGTGCTCATTGTCTTCGTGGTTTCCCTCCCCTTCGTTATTTTATTAACTACTTTAGCTGCCGTCACACCTGTGACTTAATTCCTTAATTCTCCCTCTTTTTAAGTTCCCCTCGTGTGTAGTCTTGTGTCTGACCGTTGTGGTGTGAACACGCTACACTTCGTTCGTGACCTACTACCAGTCTTGTTGTGTTTTTGTCCTGCCATGTTTTCATAGGCTCCAAGTACAGTTTAGTGTTTTCAGTTTGTCTTCTTTTCCGCTCGCTCTCTGCCTCTCGTTTCACCAAATTTCTGTTCCCCAGTTCCTGCCCTGGCATTACCAGAACCGCGCTTCGCGGCCTCTCCTCTCCTGCCCCTCTCGGCGCACTCAACAAGGAACTCTCTGCCCTGACGTTGCGTCAGTACCGACGCTTGGACTCTGTGCGCGGTTCCCTCTCCACTCTGACATTGCGTCAGTACCGACGCTTGGATTCTGTGCGCGGTTCCCTCTCCACTCTGACGTTGCGTCAGCATTGACGCTGGGACTGTGTGCGCTGATCTCCCTACGCCTTACCCTCTCTGCCTAGTGGAGGGACTGGAGGCTCGTTTGGACTGTTCCCCTCTTCCTGTCTCTAATCACTGCCCTGAATTACGGCTTCTGGTCTGCAGTCCCAGCCGAGTTTTGTGTTTTGAGATTTAAATAAATTTGAGTTGAACCTGCAAATTGAATACGTGTTTTTCCCTGACAATGAATACTTTTATTCAGCGAGGCTGCATTAAATTGATCAAAAGTGACAAAGACGTTCATAATACTACAAAAGATTTCCATTTCCAATTAATGCTGTTCTTATGAACTTTATATTTATCCTAAACAAAAGAAAATGTATTATGGTTTCCACAAAAATATAAAGCAGCACAACTGTTTCTTGAGCAGTAAAACAGCATATTAGAATGATTTCTGAAGGATTATGTGACACTGAAGACTGGAGTAATGATGCTGAAAATTCAGCTTTGCATCACAAGAATAAATTATATTTTACAACACATTCAAATAGAAAACTAAAATTGTAATATTTCAAAACTACTGTTTTTCTGTATAAATAAATGCAGCCTTAGTGAAGATAGGAGACTTCTTTCAAAAACATTAAATCTTACCACCCCCAAACTGTCAAATAGTAGCGTAGGCTTGAAAAATAAATAAATAAACAGCAAAATACGCTGGTCATCTGATAAGGCCTAATGAAAACTATCCGCATATAACAATTATTATAGAAACAGATAACAAGAGTTTTTGTCCCAGACTCTGTCTGTCTAAAATACATTTTATATACAAATATTTGTGAACTGACTGCAATGAATTTTATTTTTTAAACATTTAAATAATCGTCTGATTATTACAACCGATTAATGTACATGCAGTTAGAGCAACACTAATGTTAGGCCTTAATCAAGAAACACAAACAAACTTCTGCGCACTTTAAAAAAACATTACATAAATTGTTGCATTTAATCTAATAGGATAATTCATACAAGAATAATTTTTTGAACGATTTACACAAAATTTGTGTTTAATGCAAAAGGCCATTTATGTGCAAAATTATTTCTCTATTCTAAAGTAACCCATGCAAAACCAATGGAGTTTGCTCAGAAAAAGCAAAACTGAATTTTCAGTTTGGACTAGCCTCAAAATTTCAGCTACTTGTTCATTGGTGATGAACAATCTGGTTTTAAAATGTACGATACATAGTATCAGTATCGGCCAAAAGGTTTACATTTGTGCATCCAAATTACCATGTGTAATGTAATAAATAAATGAATTTATCCTCCTATTTATTAATGTACATGCTTGACATGAAGTCTAGTGTCAGGCCTGAGGAGAGTAAAGAGCCTCTCATTAGCCTCTAATCTCACACACATGCAGCCCACCTGCTGACAGCCTGGAGAGGTACTTCAACATGTTTGTCGAGATCGCATCCTCATCTCCGACCACGTACAGGGCATAGCTCTGAGAGACAGACAGAGAGGAAGAGGACAGGGCGCAACGAGAGTTAGTATTAGCAGTGGGACAGCACCTGTGTGGTTTTGGTTTGCTGCTGTCATGACAGTCGTGTGAGGGGAGAATAAACATGTTTCATCATGACGCGATGCAGGAGCGCAGTCATCAACCACATGCATGACTGCATGCATAACAACCGCAGATCACAGGTAATATGGCTCATTCAGAACATCAATTTCAAATACAGCTGAGAAATGTAAATTATTATGAGAAAAAAAAACTAATAAAAATGACAAAAGCACATTTTGTCACTCAGAAATTAAGCAGTAAGACAGCATGGAGTTACTGGCATTGCATTGGCCCGAAATCTGTTCCAATGTTTTTGTTGTTAGATAAACTTTTAAAACTGATTTTTATTAAGTGAAAAATAAAGCTAAAATAAAATACTACAATGAAAGATTTTAAATGTTTCCTTGGCAACTAGATGAAATAAGCTTAAGCTGAAGAACTAAAATATATCTGAAATAAAAATAAATCAAATGATCATGAACAAAAACTAATAAAATGACCAAAATACAGTTGAGAAATAAAGCAGGAAGAATGGATTTAGTCATAGCCTCAGATGTTCAGGTTTTGCCCCAACGTGGTTACTGTTAACTAAAACTTAAACTAAAACTATAAAAAAATAAAAATAAACATTTTGTTAACTGAAATAAAGCAGAAATAAATAAAATAAAACAATATTTTAAATTGCCTTGCCAACTAATGAAAATAAGTTTACGCTGAAGTACTAAAATTAGCTGAAACTACTAAAATTAATGGAAATAAAACTAAAACTGAAATGAAAATAAATTAAAACTATTTAGAAATATTAAAAAAGCCAAAAGCACATAAATTACTAAAAATTAAACTAAAAAATATAAAAATAAAGCTAATTCAAAATATTAACGAAAACTATAACAGTATAACACTAAAACAACACTTATCTGTTCATTGACCAAGTTAACCTTGTGGACAACTAGTTTTACTTACTACTAGTGGCTTAAGCATAACTCTGAATATCTTTGAAATCCGAATGTATTTGAAACCACTAATAACCTGGTAAACTTTGGCACATCCAACGACTAGTTCTATCTCACAAGTCGTGCTTGTATAATCAACCTGGTAATTAAATACTTCTGAACAGACTGTAAATACACAGGCAGAGACTAGATAGGAAGCTTCGAAAGAGTCAAACAAGAAAGTTGTAAATTAAAGGTTATCCGAGCATGCTTTACACACATTTTACTAATACTATTTCAGTCTTTCAACTTCAAAATTTAGATTTTAAATGCAAGTCTAACACCATTTGTTTTTCTTCAGGATAGATATGGCTCTGATTCTTTATTCAATGTCTAAGGGCCCATTTAATTTATTTAAGTGTCCAAACAGGTGAAAATCTTAAGTCTGATATCTTAGAAAAAGAACGCCAGACCTCTCCTCAACCCGCTCCGCAAAAAAACACAACTCTATGTACTGTATGAGCCACAGTAATGCTGATGCTTTCCTTAGCAATTACCACTAAATATAATAGGGAGAAAGAAAGGGGTTGGAAACGAGAGAGAGAGAGAGAGAGAGAGAGAGAGAGAGACAGGCAGTGGGAGTGTAAGTACAGAGGGATAAAATGGATGCTCTAATGTTCTGGACTCTAATCTAAGGGACGGGAACGGTGGGGTAAACACGGCCCATAATTGCGTAACGGTTTGTCAGCACCTCGGTGGGGTTGTGCGTCACTTCGCTTTGCCTGATGGAAGGAAGTACAAAACAAACACACACACAATGACACCCGTGACCTCTCCTATCGCCCTCTCGAGTGATTCAGACCACCACTTCCACGGACTAATCAAGGCGGGGCATCTGACCCGCTCATGTACACACTCACAGGACGACTCGGTGCTCGCAAAATGTCATTATGATTAGCTTGCAGCACTTTGCCATCTAACTGCTTGACATTTATATAGAAAATGTGTGTGAGTTAAGGGCAGGACACCCGGTTCCTCTGCTCACTGTTAGCGCTCCCTGTTGGGCATCATCCAACACCCATTCAGAAGTTTGGGCTCAGTTAGATTGTTTTAAAGAAATTAATGCTTTTATTCAGAATAGACGCAATAATGTGATCAAAAGTGACAGCAAATGCATTTATAATGTCACAAAAGATTTCTATTTAATACATGCTCTTTTGAACTTTGTTCATCAAAGACTCTTGAAAAATAAAATGAATCACAGTTTCCACAAAAATATGAAGCAGCACAATGGTTTTAAATATTGCTAACAATAAGAAATGTTTCTTGAGCAGCAAATCAGAACCTGAATGATTTCTGAAGGATCACGTGACAGTGAAGACTGGAGTAATGATGCTGAAAATTCAGCTCTGCGTCACAGGAATGAATTACATTTTACACTATATTTAAATAAAAACAGTTATATTAAAAAGTTATATTTTTTCACAGTATTTCTGTTTTTACTGTATTTTTGATTATATAATTGCAGCCTCAGTGAGCATAAGAAACCTCTTATGCATAAAAAATCTTACCAACTCCCAAATTTTGAACGGTATCTGCAATGTTTTGGGATTGAAAATCAGATTTAAATGCAGTCTATTCTCTAAATTACTATAACGTCAATCTCTAACTGCGTTATTGGTCACAGTCAGCAGACAGTAATAACACTAATTTTCACAAACCGTTAAACAAAGCTTCATTTCGAGATGGACATCATTGAATATAATGACAGCTTGCAGCTCAGCGAGTGAGTCAGAACCGCTCTGACTGATTCAGTGAGTTCATTGAGTTAAAGATTCGTCAGATTGATTCAAACGGAGTTTGGAAGGCTTTTTGAATGATTCACTGAAAGAACTTCTCATAACAGTCATGCGGTTGTGAATTGGACTAAACTGGTCAGACTTTAGAACAATTAGAGAAGGATGTGAGCACCTGTATTTTTCAGGAGTCAACTGGGTTGTAGAATACAGATGGAGTGCACTTATAAAACCAGGTAAAAAGACCATATTCAGTGGCACAGGGAGGATTTGGGTCCTTACCAGCACCAGTAGTTTGGTTCTCTCACAGATGCCAGGCAGATAAGGAAAAGGCGCCACATCTTGCCCTCTCAGACAGCGACTGAGCCAGCTGAACACACACGGGGCCTCCCCATCCAGGAACACCGGCCAAGTCATCAGCTCCATCTGAGCTGCACATGGATGAAAGACATGACCGCAGAATAGAAATATTAAAAGAACAGTAGGGATGTAACGATTAACCGCGAGCCGGTTGAAAATCGATTCAAATACGTGACGATTCAAATCGGTTGAGATGCTAAACAAATCGCGATTCAATTAGAGGTAAGAGTTTATATGAATGTATGTCTGAGGGGAACTTACTGTCTTTAGAAAAGTTTAGATGGTCGTCTGCTGTTTCGGTTTCACAAAAAAGAAGTCAAATCATTCTGTTTTTGCTTCAAATTTCGAAATTATACAATGTAATTTAGATTAAAAACTGTTCATGTCGCATGTATGCAGCATCTTTGTTTGGATCATGATTAAAATGCAGTGGTTGCCTCTCATTTTAAATGGAAAGAGCACAGACAAAGCCTTAGTTTGTTTATATGAAGAGATTTCTTTTATTTGTGTTACTTATTTATTTAATTTGTAAAAAATAAATAAATTGTGAATTGAATCGTGAAATCAAAATCGTGAATCGAATCGAATTGTGAGTTGAGTGAATCGTTACATCCCTAAAGAACAGCATTTTTTTTTTTTTATAAAAATGTAAACGTAATTAATTTAATGCATCCTTGCTGAATACAATTATTAAATGTATTTTAAAATGAATACTAATTAATTTCTTTTAAGCATTTATTTAAAAAAAAAAAATCGGTAACACTTTTATTTTAAGGTGTCCTTGTTACACATATTGCATGTACTTACTATTATAATATCAATTAGTTATGCATAATTACATGCAAGTAACCCTAAGCCAAACCTTAATCCTAACCCTAACCATATAGTAAGTACATGTAGTTAATTAATATTACTCAGTGCTTAAATGTATAATTACACTTTAACAAGGACACCTTAAAATAAAGTGTAACCAAAAAAATCTATTTAATACACCCTTACATTAATTCATCCTTGTATCATTTCTTTCAAAAAATTCAAACCTTACTGAAAAATATTTGTGACATACTCTTCTGTTCAGGTTATTATTGTTAACTAAAACTATGAAAACATTTATGTTTATTGAAATCAATTTTATTAAAATCAAATCAAATATAAATATTAGATGAAAAATTTATTTCAGGTATTTGCCAAGGCAACATTTCTCATTTTCATTTAGTTTAAGTTGAAGCACTAAAACTGCTAACTGGAAATAAAATAAATAAAGACTAAAACTGAAATACAAATAAATTAAACCTAAATAGTAAGAGTAATAGTACTGGTCTTGTATAGTAATAGAAATTGCAGAAGCACACAACAAAATGTCTAAAAATTTTAATAAAATGACGGAAGCTAAAAATAAAAGCTAATTAGAAATATTAGTTGAAATTATAATCGTATATGAATAATACTATACTAACACTGGTTCAGGGGAGTGTACATAAAGATATACAAGACAGGACCTTAAATGAAAATGCCTATGTTAGACCATTTCCTTGGGTTTTTATAACCTTAAGGCTAGAAGTTGAAAAATTTCATGTCTATTTTGTGTGTCAACTACCAACAACCAACAGAATCCCCATGGCAACAAGGCCTGTCACTCAAACCCTAAACATGGCTAGAAGCACATCGGGCCGAACTCCTCTTAACAAGTCAGCACTGGTAAATTAATAGAAATGCCTTTAGCTGCTAATGAGGGGCCCTGACTGCATTGATCGGCCTCGTACCTTGATCAATCACGCAGGCCTCCTTGAACGTTTTGATGAATGAGGGGTAATCGCGCCAGTACAGATCAATGAAATCCTCCAGTTGCAGGTCCCTAATGAAACGAGAGAAAAAAAAATGATTAGTGGTAAAAGAGTCATCAGGCGCTCAATATATACACTAAAACTAGTATAAGAGCCAAACCAGAGCGTGACTCATACGGCACAGTTTAACAAACTGCATGATGATTGGGATCTGTGGTCTGACGGCTGTACATCTCAAGACTTGTTACTAATACTAACAGTGGTATTCAACAATATTGTGAATATCACAAAAATTACAACATGGTTTTTATTTGTAAACAGAGTAATAAAGTTAAAAATACAGTAATAATGTTTGGGTTTATCTAAACAGGTTCTAAACATGATCTATCTTTGGGTACAACCTCCTGCTTCTTCCAGTTTCTCACAAAATATGGGCTTTACTTCAGTCAGTATGAGTCAATATACCATCAGATATATAAAAATGTGTACTGTCATTACAAATATTAATGAATGAAATGATAAATCCATCTTTGGTTACGAATGAATTGAGAATACAGGATGGTTTCAAACTGACTGTCAGCTCCATCTACTGAAGAAAACGGGCGATTTAATTGCACTCATAAATATCTGACAAGACTGACAAAAAGTAGAGACACATCTGTGCAATCTTAAAAAGTTAGGTGTATTTTTTTTAACTGACTTCTGTCAGGACATTGTAGAAATTAATAATTTTTTTTTTTTTTAAACATTTATACTTTTTCCTTATTAGGTTTTATCTATTTGAATCTATATGAAATACATAAGTATGTTGATTATACACTATATTGACTATATATAAATAATTTAAAAACATGTTTTATTTTATATATTTGATTATACAGACTGATGTTGAATACATATAAATATATAAATAATTGAAAATCATGTGTGTTTCATTTTATATATATATATATATATATATACACACACACATACATATACAGTATATATATATATACACACATACACACACTGCAGCTCAAAAGTTTGGGATCAGTAAGACTTGTAATGTTTTTTAAAGAAGACTCTTTTGCTCATCAAGGCTGCATTTATTTGATCAAAAATACAGAAAAAACAGTAATCTTGCAAAATGTTATTACAATATAAAATAATGGTTTCTATTTTAATATCCTTGAAAATATCATTTATTTCTGTGATGCAAAGCTGAATTTCCATCCAGCCATTACTCCAGTATAAAGTGTCACATGATCCTTCAGAAATCATTCTAATATGCCGATTTATTATTAGAATTATCAATGTTGGCAACAGTTGTGCTGCCAAATATTTTTTTTGAAACTGCGATACTTTTTTTCAGGATTCTTTGATGAATAAATAGTTAAAAAGAACAGCATTTATTCAAAAAATACATATTTTCTAACTATATAAATTTTTGCTATCACTTCTTAAATGTAAAAAAAAAAAAAAATTCTTAATTTTTTAAAATTTCTTTCTAAAAAAAGAAAGAATAAAAATGTACTGACCCCAAACTTTTGATCTGTAGTGTATATTGTTAGAAAAGATTTCTATTTTAAATAAATGCTTTACTTTTGTATATTAAAATAGAAAAATTGTATTTTAAATCATAATAATGTTTCACAATATTACATTTTTTCCTGTATTTTTGATCGAATAAATGCAGCCTTGATGAGCATAAGTATATTTTTTAACATTTATAATAATTTATAATTATATACATATATAAACACACAATATAATAATATTGATAGAATGATGAATAAATAACATGAAAGTGACAATTTAGCCATTTCTAAAACTAACAGTTAAAATTGTGCACCATGACTCAAGAATTAATTGGTTGAAATTATGGTTTTTGACTGTGAAAAAAGAGCAAATACATACATCGAGATATGTATCCAATATCATCAAAAGACTAAAAAAATATTAAGATATATATTACCCAGCCCTAATGCTGACCTACAAACAATACGCACAAGCCGAAGAGTCAACAGAGGATTATCGTTACAGCCTTATCTGATCTTCTGTATTATAATACAATGCTTTTAAATTTCAAACCCACACGGGTTCATCAAACAGCAGCCAATTAAACTCTCACTGCTGTTTTGTTCATGTCCACATGACAGCATGCACTTGACATTTTATTAAACAATGAAATACATTACAGCTATCTCCCCATTCAAACTTAGGATACGCCACAAAGAAAAGCGGCACTGACAATGTGAAGTGGGAGTTTTGATGAGTTAGTCAGGAGGTAAAAACAAGTTCAGGTCTGACCCATTGCATTTGTTATTATTCGTAGACAAAAGGCAAAAAATTAAATAAATAATTACTTGGCCAGCTGTTGCAGCAGACCGACCAGAGCTCTCGCCCCGCTCCGCTGCAGCTCGTCCAGCTTCAGGTCTTCATAGAGCAGATGCAGAACGTAGAAGAGCACCGGGATGTGTGGAAAGAGCAGGGCAGACGACTCTAAACCCATAGCGGACTCGTGGTTATCCACTCCACCGGGGGGCGACACCAGCTCCAGGCCCTGAACGGCCACCGCAGGGCGCATGGAAACCTGCCAATGGTAGTCGGAGCATCTGAGGTATCCCCAATCCTGTTGATGTCATACAGATGTAGCCATCAATAAACATCCACAACAGGAACCCAGCAAGGACTTTTATACATAAATTATACACTATATACACTACTATACAAAAGTTTGGGGTCAGTAAGATTATATAACACTTTTAAAGTCTCTTAAGATCACCAAGGTTGAATTTATTTGGTTAAATATACAGTAAAAACAGTAACATTTCTAATAGGGATGTTCATATTAACCGTTTAACTGTTAACCGAAAGTAAAAAAATTGACCGATTAATACTATCAGCTTAAAAGTTGTTTTTTTATTTATTTTATTAATTTTTTATTTTTTAAGTATTCCTATTGCTTGGCCATTTGTTGTGATAAACAGGAAAGTGTGTTCAAGCGCCAGCAAAACAAAGTGTTAAGATATACTCTTTGAGCATGCTCCTGTTTGCACGTTAAAATAAACCCGTGAAAAAAAATTGTTTGTATTTTTAATGGGTCACAGACACTCATCCGTTCTATTTTTATTTAACACTAATTTATTATTCTAATCTTATCAGTTAACGGTTAATGTTCAGATAACAAGTAACAGTTGTCGGTAGGGAAAATTGACCGAAATGAACATCCCTAATTTCTTATTATTACAATGTTGAAAACAGTTGCGCTGCTTCATATTTTTGTGGAAACAATGTTACATTTTATTCAGGATTCTAAGATGAATAGAAAGTTAGGCATGTAACAAACAGGTTCCACTCCAGGTGCATGCTGGGACCTCCAGGGGCGTTGTAACTGTTGTACCACTTGACCAGCACTTTCATGGCAGTGTCCTTGGGTAAAATAAACCTGATGGCCTGCAAGCAACGCTTGACTGGGAGTAAAAGAAAGATTCGGCGTTAATAACAGAAGTCACAATGGTAAGGAGTGAGCACTTTCTGTAACATTTTGGTCTCTAGATAAGGCTTGAATGCCGCCTTGTGAGTCTATGTGAAATGTTTAACTCATTTCATCATTCACCAGTCAAAAATCAACTAGAAAATAAAAGCAAACCTCTCTGTAAAGAGCTGAACGATTGGAGGAATCATGCATGTCGGGTGCACAAATATTTATGTATAACAATTCAGAATTTTTTTTTTTTTTTTTAGAATTTTGAGTTCATAATACATAATTCTGACTTTATTTCTCACAATTTCAAGTTAAAATCTCAAAGTTTTAAGTTAAAAACCTCTCAAATCTGAATTTATTGATTGCAATTCCAAGTTCATATCTCACAATTTTGAGTAAACTTGCAATTCAGACCTTTTGAGTTCTGAGTTTATAATACACAATTCTGACATTATTTCTTGCAATTTCCAGTTTGTATCTCACAATTTCGAGATAAAATCTCATAATTTTGAGTTAAAAACTCACAATTCTGAATTTATTTGTTGTGATTTCAAATTAATATCCCACAATTTTGAGCTGTGATCTCGCAATTCAGACTTTTTTCCTCAGAATTGTTAGTTTATAATAAAGAATTCTGACCATTTTTTAAATCTCACAATTTTGAATTAAGTACAGACTCTTGAATTCTGTTGAGGGGCACCTAATTTTGTGGTTAAAATGATCTGTCTGTATCACAAAATGAGTATTTAGTTCAAGAAGCATTTTGGTACATTTCCTTTCATATTCATAGTGAACCACAAAATCACATTACATTCATAAAAACATGCCGAAGTTTAATACTTGTTCAAATTGCTAAACTCAAGCATAAGCAATCATAATAATGATGCATGCCTTAGCAAACCCCAATAGTACAAGTTATTTACTCAGCTGTCACCACTGATCTCTGATGAATTAATACCATATTATTAGATTAACATTAAACATAACATCATTTTTAGCTCGTATCTCCCACCCCCACGTGTGTAGATCAAAAATAAAAGTGTAAGTGAAGATAATGGAGATGAAGGTTGTACGCGGAGATGATCCTATAGAAGAGTGCACAAGGAGGGGGCCGCCACTTCAAAGGACACAGCCGGAGCTGGAACGCACATCTGAGCGAGGGGGTGGAGATCGGAGGGACGGGTTTACTGATGATGACTGTTTGCCAAAGTGTTTGACTGCGTAACACGGGGGTTACAAGACCTGATACAGAGAGGAAGAGGATGTTGAGATCTGAGGGTGGAGGGATGCATGAGGTTTGGTTTGGTTTGATTGGATTTCTGCAGCAAGATGAAATGAAGCAGAGAAAGTGTAGGACTTTTTAAAGGGGTCATATGATGCTGCTAAAAAGAACATTATTTTGTGTATTTGGTGTAATGAAATGTGTTTATGCGGTTTAAAGTTCAAAAAACACGTTATTTTCCACATACTGTACATTATTGTTTCTCCTCTATGCCAACTTTGACTTTTTATCTAACAATTCTGAGTTTATATGCCACAATACTGACTTTTTTCTCAGAACTGTGAATTTATAATAGACAATTCTGTCTTTATTTCTCACAATTCTGAGTTTATATCTCACAATTTTGATATTTCAGACTTTTTCTCAGAATTGTGAGTTTGTAACATACAAGTTAGACTTCATTTCTCACTATTCTGAGTTTATATTTTGAAATTTTGAGTTAAAATCTCCCAATTCAGACTCCCTCAGATTTTAGTTAATAATATACAATTCTGACTTTGTCTCACAGTTGAGTTTGTCTTGCAATTTTCAGTTTGCATCTCCCAATTCTGACTTTTTTTTCTCTAAATTAATATCTCTTTTAAGGGACGCCTAGTTTTGTGGACCATCCCAAAAATGCATTTTTCATTCAAAAAATGTTTTGGTACACTCCATTTTGTATACATAATGCACAAAATCATATATTACTTTCACAAAGTGAATCTTCTGTTAACTCAGAAATCTGAGGGAAAAGTCAGATTTGCAAGATGCCTACTTGGAATTGCTAGAGATAAAGTAGGAATTGTAAACTCTGAATTGCAAGATACAACCTTGCAATTCTGATAATAAAAAGTCAGAAATGTGAGATAATTAAAAATTGTGAGAGAGAGAAATATACCCTGAATGCACGAAGTCAGAATTGACTTCAGAATAGATACCTTTTTTTAAGTGGGCTTCCATATTTCACCTTCAAGGCATCCTAGGTGTATATGACTTTCTTCTTTCTTCTATATGAATCCAGTCTGAGTTATATTAAAAATTGTCCTGGCTATTCCAAGCTCTATCATTGTAGTCAAGCACTATGTTGCAGTGCTTCAGTCCAAAAGAAGTTAAATAAAAAGCGCCCATCCATAAAAAAAAAGTGTCTCACACGGCTCCGGGGGGTGAACAAAGCCCTCCTGTAGCGAATCGATGCGTTTTTGTAAGAAAAATATCCATATTCAAAACGTAATAATCACTTGAATCTAGCTTGCGCTCACTGTTGTGAACGGAAGCAGCTCCGGGAGGATGACGTATGAGGTCAGCTTTGCACATGCGCCGGTGAGTCTATAACTCCGACTGGATTCGTCTGAAAGAAAGTCATTTACACCTGGGATGCCTTGAAGGTGAGTAAAATACTGCCTACTTTTCATTTTTAGGTGAACTAACCCTTTAAGTGTGAGGGTTTCACAGGGAAAAAATGTTATGGTGTTTCACGAAGACATGCATGAATATTAATATTATAGTTTGGTTTAGTAATTTAAACAAACCCCTATTCCAAAGTATTAAAATTCAGCATGTAGTATCCCACATACTTTTGCTACGGACATGAACAATTCCTGAAATCGCACAGCTTGTTGAGGAGAGACAAGTCACATCTCTGAGTTCAGTGATGCATTTCAGAGCTACTTTGCAATTTCATAAATTTGCCTCATAAAATGCTAAAGAACTCATTCATCCTGCTTTCTCACTAGTTCTAGAGAAATCACAGTAAATATCAGCAACCACATTCAACAATAGAGTACTGTAACTACATTTAGAGTATGAAATCTTCACTGAATAGACCATAACACCAGTAAAAAGTGTAAAAGCAGCTTTTGTCCACAACTAAACGTGAATCAGGGATATCTAAAATGGCATTTTCCACTTCTTTTATTTTATCCGTTATCGTTCAGCGTCACACCACCACACTCTCAATGACTCTGCCTGAAGATTAATTAGCAAACAAACACAGAAAGGTCAGGATGGAGCTGAATAAAATGCCACTTTATTAGCAGTACAAAGCCCACCACTTTCAAACTAAAGCACTTATTAACAGGAAGCTGGCATTAATTGAGAAAATTGTAAAGAATGCCGGATGGGCAGATGTCGCATGCAATCAGTTCAAAACTAAAGGCCAAGAAAAGCTAAACAAATCCGCCACAGGGAAATCTGCACCCACAGTTGGGATGCGACAAGTGTTTGTCCGTTCAAAAGTCATCGTTATGATGCTAGCATGCTCTGGGTGCTAGGTGGTAAAAATTGAAATGGTACAAATCAATAGCAAAAGTAATAGCAAACAGCTCTAATGACATAAACAGACCCAAAGCATGTATCATCAACACTTCCTGGAATATTAATAGCAAACACATTAGAAAAGGTCAATTGTCTAAATGCAGAAAGTGGCTGGAATGACTCACAGTTTTACTTCACAGTAAAGCATAACTGCATTAATTAGTGACAGATCCTTGGGCACATAATTTATGCCAAATAAATCAGGATCTGAGTTTTGCAAAATAACTACAAAACAGCACTGTTAAGTCTCACAGGAGTGCGGGTTAAAAAACGGCAGTGTTAACATTGCCAAAGGTTTTGAAGACAAGACGAAATATGTACTCACCCTCAGGCCAGCCAAGATGTAAATAAGTTTGTTTCTTCATCAAGAACAGATTTGGAGAAATGTAGCATTCCATCACTTGCTCACCAGTGGATCCTCTGCAGTGAATGGGTGTACGGGAGTGGTGAGGATTACTTGTGGATTATTGTGATGTTTTTATCGGTTGTTTGGACCCTCAATCTGACGGCACCCATTCACTGCAGAGGATCCATTGGTGAGCAAGTGATGTAATGCTACATTTCTCCAAATCTGATGAAGAAACAAACTCATCTACATCATGGATGGCCTGAGACTGAGGCAAATTTTAATTTTGGGGTGAACTATTCCTTTAAAACTTTAAATTCCTTTCAATGTTAATTTAACACCCCTTTATTATAACATTGACGAAAAAATTATATTACAATAACGCACTAACAAATTTTTTATAGAAAATAATAATCCAATAATAGTTTAAAATGAAGTAATCTGACATACAAAATACTCAATAACAATTTACATAATAAGGTCTAATTAATTAATGTTAGATAATGCATTATCTTACATAAACTGACAATGAGCAGTATCTTTTTAAAGCATCATTGTTAAATGTTACTTAAAATAAATACAATTATTTATTGATTGTTCATGTTAGCTCAAAGTGCATTAACTAAAATTAATTGACTACTGACATTATGCTTATATTTATTTAGTGGTTTAAAATTTAATGATGTTATTTACTGGTTTATTGTTTTGAAATGTATTAGTAATATTAAAAATTAACATTAAGATAAAAGATTGCTGTAGCAGCATATCCTGTTAACCAATGTTAACAAACAAAACCAAAATAGTGACTATATGTAAAGGATATTTTCATGAAAAGACTAAAACAAAAAATTAACTAAAAACTGACATCAGGAGGACATGAAATGAGCGTTTTGACCAGCTTTCCAAACTCACAAACAGCTTGTGACTCAGCACTGTGCTGCATTGGAAGTGATGCATCACGCGGTTGGACTGTATTTATGAGACTGTTTTCTCTTACCCAGCCCTGAAGTGGCCACCTCGGGAATGGTGATTCTTAACATGGAACCGGAGCTCAATTCCTGAACAAAAGAAAAGTGAGAGGCAGATATTAGCGCCACATGCTTAATTAGCTGCGCCATCAAAAAGAGTCCGAACCAACAGGCGTCACGTTGCTATTTATATCTGCTCGAATTCTGTCAAAAGCAACCAGCTATTGTTGCTCCCTTTGCTGAAATAAACTGAAAACAAAAGAACAATTGCATGCAGCAAAATTCCAGCAGGCATTCGACAAAACCAACCTTGGCTATTTTTAAAAGCCTGTCTCAGAAGCATATCATCCCACATATGTTGGTTGTGGCGAGATTGCTTTGACAGGCCTGCGAGGGGATTTCTTCTGGTAGGACATGTCGTTCAGTGGGAAATGACAACGCAGAGGGGCTGACTGCAGGGGACCAGACCTTATTGAGTCTTGTCAAAACAGTGACGGGCTCCTGGTGCACATGTCTGAGCCGCCACACCATGTTGGTCATGTCCTGTTACTGTGGCAGCCCTCAATTACAGCCGCACACTGTACGACAAAAGCAATTACCGGCTCCTGCCTTTAGCAGCAGTAGTCAGCACAAACACAAACTAAAGCATCTTGACCCTGTTTGACATTTTGAAAATGCATTTAGAAAGCAGCTGTATGTCCAGACAGTGATATATCAAGTGAACCAGGTGGATTCGTTTGAATTATATGTGGCCATTTTGAGATTTACTGGCATTGGACGAAAAACCGAGCCCACTTGGCTGACTAACAAAAGACTAATTCTTCCAAAATATACTGACATATATTCAATGAACAAATGGTTCACCTCATTTGTTATCAGTGAATAAAATGTCTATGAAAAAAAACGATGAAAAAAAGGCAGCTGTGGTTGCCAAAACTTGACCATAAAAAAAAAACTGCAGCAACATTTTAGCAACATTTGATGTATATAATGATAAGATAATATACCAACCTTCTGAAGTATTAAAATCTGTTTTGTACATTTATAATACACTGACAAACACCAAAAAACACAGGTGGTAATGAGAAAACCACATGATGAATGTAATGCACTCAAATAGGAATGCGCGATATTGGATTTTTGCCGATATCCGATATGCCGATATTTTTATCTCATTTTGGCCGATAGCTGATGCCGATACCAATATATTTCCTTTTGTTTGGAAAAAACACCAAGTCTCTCCTGTGCAGAATTTAAAAGCAAATTATTTTTAATTTTGGTTAGTTTTTAACAAGAACATATTTGTTAGAATTAAATAAACAACAATGAAGTTCTTTTATAATGACAGTACATTGAAGATTTGAAAATAACTAAACTATATTCAATCGCTGCATTTTATAATTTTTTTTTCAGAAAGATGCAGTGGTAACCTTAACATTTTATTTTAAGATTTAACACTTGTAAATTGTCTAAAGCAAGAGTTGTACAAATTCTGAAAATCTTTTAGAGCTCATAATTTGTTTCAAAATATAACATATTACACATTAATGAATAAATCAGTAAATATAAAATAATTTAAGTGACATGTTTGTGTGTTTTTTTTTTGTTTTTGTTCATGTAAGCTATAGCTTCTGAACTTTAAATCAAAACATACTCATGATTTTATGGCATCAATTACTGCTTTATTTAATCAGAAACACAGTCTAAATATTATATGTGTATTTTGTTTTCATTTTATTATAAGTAGGCCAACAGCGCCCCTACGGAATTAAAACTCCTTACAGAACAGGCTTTAGGACCCGGGGGAGGCTGCCTCTGCTGCTGCACGTGCTATTACTGTTTACTCTATCATACACCGAATGCATCATTCTGTACATGCATATTCACAGATTAAATGCAGCGATCCAAAACAGTGAATCTAATCATCATTCAGGCAAAACTTTGCTTCAAGAATGAGCCACATTGCTGACGTGATGTAATCACTAGCACACCCTGAGCACATGTGAGTTAATGTATTCCTCTTATCGGCAAGACATATCGGCATAATTTTTCATATCAGGCCGATGCCGATATTTATATTTAAAGCCATTATCGGCCGATTACGATATCAGTCCGATGATATCATGCATCTCTACACTCTAACACAAAATAATGCAATAAAGATTAATTTTACAACTTAAGATAACTAAATATTACTTAAGATCATAAAAAAAGCAACTAAGAAACACTATTATTTCCATGAAAAACCATCAAATGTAAAGTGTCACAGACAATTCTGGGAATCTATGTTTTTTCATGTGTAGAGGACTTGTTCTTTTTCACTTACAAAACTTAATAGCATGATTTTCATTTAGTATTACATTTAAAGGAACACTCCACTATTTTTGAAAATAGGCTAATTTTCCAACTCCCCTAGAGTTAAACAATTGAGTTTTACCGTTTTCGAATCCATTCAGCCGATCTCCGGGTCTGGCGGTAGCACTTTTAGCTGCAGCTTAGCATAGATCATTGAATCTGATTAGACCGTTAGCATCTCGCTCAAAAATGACCAAAGAGTTTCTATATTTTTCTTATTTAAAACTTGACTCTTCTGTAGTTACATCGTGTACTAAGACCGACGGAAAAATATTGATTTTTTTAATTATAATTTTTTACAGTGTACATAAATTGTAACTAAGACAGTAAAAAAAGTGTCTAAACAACTATACTGCACACTGTATAGTAGAGATCCAAAATATATTGGTAATTATATCAGTGTCAGCCAATATATAATATATATTAATCAGGATTGGTCGGAATCAGCTAATACTAGAAATTGATAATATCAGATCTGATTTTCTTAAATATAAAGTTTTCAAAAGTACTAAAGTGTCAAGTCTGTTAAGATGAAATTGAAATGTACTCTGAAAATCTAGTCGGTAAATACTCATTATAGACCTTATTGTGAATAATTCATGTGCATTTTTTGTGACTTAATGTTTAAATCAAAATGATGTTGCTACTTCAGTTTCTATGTGACTAAGGTTTTTAATGTCTGGTTTTACTTAGAAGCATGCATGCATTAAAATATTTTAGACTGCAGCTTTATGAAGAATATTTTTTTAAATAATAAATAAATAAATAAATTTAGCTTAATACCAGCCATCATCAGTTATCATCTATTCATAAAAATAATCAGCCATCAGTATCAGTGCATCTTGTTTGTATAGCCCTCTTCCTCATCTCTAAAAGAGCATTTTCGTGATTTCTGTGATCCGCAGAATTGTAATCACTGATAAACATATCAAGCATCTTAATGACACTAGAACATCAATGAACTGTATGCTGAGAAGTGGTTAGAGGTTAGACGAGTTGCACTGACCAGCGTGACTCTGTTGCTGACGGGGTCTCGGAGGGTGTGGATGTGAGGTGCAGCCTGCTGGAATGAAGAGTCTTCCAGCCATGACGACTCGTGGTGCTGCGTCGCGCTGCGCACCTCCAACACAGGAGACGGCATGCCAACCTGACAGCAGGAGATGAGGAATACCATGAACAGATATGACATAAAACACAAAAAAACACAACACTACTGCAAGGTGATGCAAGGTGTTCCATGTTCAAATTTGATGAGGTTAATGCTCATTATTCAACTTAAGTCAGTTCAGTTTGATTACTGTGTAAAGGTAATTTATTATGAAACTAGTTAATTTATTATGAAACTAGTTCAATTCAGCAATAAGCAGCTCAAATGAAAAAAGTAGTGTGGATATTCAGCTCAGGTCATTTCAATGTTAATTCATTTCATTTTTGATTTCGCAAAATTCGTCAATTATAAATACATTTGATTCAGCTATAAAACAGCTCTGCTGAACAGTGTTATTTTTTGGCTCAATTCATGTTTTGTTCAAATTGGTTATGTTTTTGAATATTAAAGAACAGTTGACTCAGAAATTAACATTTGCTGAAAATGTAATAACTCTCAGGCCATTCAAGATCAGAGCAGATTTGGAGAAATGTAGCATTGCATCACTTGCTCACCAATGGGTCCTCTGCAGTGAATGGGTGCCGTCAGAATGAGAGTCCAAACAGCTGATAAAAATGTCATAATAATCCACAAGACACCAGTCCATCAATTAATGTCTTGTGAATCAAAAAGCTGCATGTTTGTACAAAACAGATCCAGGTAAAGTTAATCCATAATCGTGCTTCCTCCAGTGAAAAAAAAGTCTCATTTCAAAATACACCCACATATTTCTTATGGGGTGGCAATATTATGGGTGTACACTTGTATGTTAGCCAGAAGCAACAATTGGAAGTTAAAAATGTCTTGATGGATTTATTTCATCCATACACACACAAAGCTGTTCACTTCACAAGACATTAACTTATGGACTGGCATGGTGTGGATTACTGTGATGTTTTTATCTGCTGTTTGGACTCTCATTCTGACGGCACCCATTCACTGCAGAGGATCCACTGGTAAGAAAGTGAGGTAAAGTCACATTTCCACAAATCTGTTCTGATGAAGAAACAAACACATCTACATCTTGGATGGCCTGAGAATAAATCAATTTTCAGCAAATTTTCATTTTTGGGTGAACTATTCCTTTAAGTGTCTTTTAATCCCCAACTAAGCAAGATAAAGGCAACAGTGGCAAGTAACCCAAACTCCATAAGGTGACAGAAATGGAGAAAAACAAAAATTGGAAGAAACCAGGCTCAGTCAGGGGACCAGTTCTCTGGCCGAAAGGCATGGAAAGCTTAAAAAAATATTGTTTATAAAGATATTTGCAGCTCTCTTAACCATTACTGGTAGTAAATAACCATCATAAAAAAGGAACAAACTGTGATTGAAATGTGTTTGTCCACACAAGTACATCATCTGCCCTTAATGTAGTTCTGTAGTGAATAAAATTCTGTTTGTGGTTTAGGAGACATTTGCAGGGACTAGAGAAGCTTTTATCAATAGTGCAATACTTCATGTTAAATGGTGGCTCTAAAAAGCACTTCTCTTCTAACACAATATCCATAAATACACTCATATGGGATATGATTAATAATTTATTAAGCATACTATCATTCATATGGACTACTTGATCTCCGTTTCACACAATTCGATTATCAAACCAGTTGAGAGCCAAGTTGTTTTTGTTGTTTACGAAGAAAAATAATGGAGCTGGGCATATTACTGTGATTTAATACTGATATCGATCCATTTGTAGAAACAAAGCGGATGGCCATTAGCATTAGGACACAATATCAAGAGTCCTCTTGAAGAACGCTGTCTTGTCTTACACATATGACTCAATTAGTGTTTCACTAATCGGCTACAATAAAACGCACACGATCCCGCAATAAGCACATTATAGTACCTCCTCCAGTCGGCTCATATGCTGAACCGTGGCCCTTGCGGGGGTGCTGATGTTCTCCAGAGGGGTGCTTAACTGCGGCTGGTGGTTTTGCACACTGAAGGTAGGAGACAAAAGGCCAGGGACAAACACTTTGCTGACCTGGAAGCAAAACATTCATGTTTACTACTAGCTTAAAACATGATGGTTTTGTGTTACCAAAGGCTTAAAGCTGAATTACTTTGAAGGTGATGGGAAAAATAATTATTTTTATGTATATAAAGTATTGGGCTACCACATGCCACTACAGGGTAAAAGTGTTTCTTGATACTACATACTGTTAGCCTATTTATATCAGTGTGTTAAGCATTCGCTGAAAGATTTTAAACCCAAATAGGATAAGTCAAATTTGTATTCGTTATCATCAAGGGTCAGTGAGTCAGCAACATTCTTTAATTAGTCCATACTTTAGCTTTCTAAGTTTCTATGCATTTTATTTAAGGTATGTGTGAATGTCTAAAAACCAAAACTTTTGAGATTGTCATTTCCTTGTAATATATATAAAACATTAGATACATAAGAATATTATAGAATAGATTAGAAGAAGAATAGAAGAGTAATAATAATAAAATTAAAACTATTATTTTTATTACTATTATTATT